TTTGTTGTTGTAACGGTCTGACCCGCCCCTACTGGACATCTGTGAAAAAGAGCTTTATAGCTCATCGGATTCAGCAGTATAATACATATTCAGCTTCTGATACCAATCGGTTCAAACGTCTCAAATGTAATGACATCTTTTCAGCGTGTGCCTGGATGGATAAACGCCCCTTTAGTTCCGATTTGCTCAGCAACTGTTACAGAAAAAAAACACATTTGCTCCATGTGGAACGAGTGTCCTTGGGTCTCCACGTGTGTGCACAACCAGGTATCCTGACGTTCTGACGCGACTACAGTCTGCAATCGTGCTGAGAATTATGTACTGGATATATTCAGCTGTGATTTGTATAAGTGGTTCTACATTGTTAAATAAGGGACAGCACACACACGTGATACACACACATGCTTGTGTATGTGTTTGTGGGGAACGGTAGTGTAGCGGTTAGCGCGCTGCGCTACGAACCGGGCCATCCGAGTTCGACTCCCGCTTCACGGCGATATCTGAACCGGTCCTGGGCCTCCCCTAGGTCGAGTCAAGCCTCAAATGAGTATCCGGTGCGGTGTGTAAAAACATCGCCACTGGGGAGACAAAGGCGGCCGGGCGTGGTGCTGGCCACCCACCCCCTGGTGTGCCGTCCAGGCCTTCATAGGTGCTTACTCTTTGGTTCTATTGGGTAAAGTCACGTAGGTAAAAAATAAATGAAGGGTGAAGGGACGATACCGCTTGTGTTGTGGCCGAAACGTCGTGATTTTTGTTATTTTATTTTTTTACCTACGTGACTTTACCCAATAGAACCAAAGAGTATGGATCCTAGCAGTCACGAAAGCTTTAAATCTAGAATTCATAGGTGCTGCTCGCTAAGAGCACGTGCCCCAACAGTTCGTTCGGGCTATATGGGAGTTGTTTTTGTATTCGGTGCAGCTTGTGTGGTTGAATATGAATCAACGGCGAAACGTGGTGGCTTCTAGGGCTGAACGATTTGGGGAAAAAATGTATTGCGATTTTTCTGACATTGCGATTTGATTTGCGATTGATTTTTTTTAAGTCAAGCTTCAGTTCAATATCACTCTGTAATAGATTTAAAACGTGATGGAGCATTATCACATGGTACCATCAAAATATTAACTTCTCTATACAGTATATTCTAATGCAAAGATGAGAATTTAAAAGATATAAATTGCTTCCAACATGTATTTATTTTAAAAAATGTAATTGAAATAGAACAATCAAACATAGACAAGTTAAATAAATAAAGTTATAATAAAAATAAAACAATTCCAATAAGAAGGTAATATGACTTTTCAAATCTCAAAAAATCGCAGCCTTTTGCGATTGCTAATCGCACTGTTTCAAATGCGATTTCGATTTGAATCGATTAATCGTTCAGTCCTCGTTGGCTTCTTTAAGCACGCGGCGGTCTCTTTTTTTCTCTCCCCGTCAACGAGCCTTGACAGCTGCTCCGTCGCGTTTTTGGTCACCGCAGCCACCGCAGACCGCCTGCCAAAGATTTCCTTCTCTGTTCCTAATTGTTACTTTTGTTATGTTACTTTATTGTACTTTCTTCCTCCCACCTCCGACTTTACCCCAAACCTCGCCCAACCCCCACCGCCAGTTGCCATCCCCTCCGCCTCCTCCTCCTCCTCCCCCATCCAGCCTCTCTCTCTCCCTCCCTCCACCTCCCACCGGGTTCCTCTCAACATATGGCTGGGGGCGATGTCAACAATAACAACAATAACTATAACGAGACGGGCGTCGATAGAGACGTCTTTAAATAGTACGCACGCACGTGAGAATTAGGGGGAGCTGGGAATAAGTCCCTGCGGGGTGCAGCCTCGGCGTTGGCGAGCTATAACGAGGGCGTGCTCCTTGATAATCTTTGCCTTTGTTTGGCGTAGCCCGTGAAAGACATTCATAGGCACAGGCAATAATAACGCAGATCGCACGGCGTGAACTGACAGGCAGGGCCCGTGAAATTATCTGGGTGCAGTTAGAATTTTAAAGTTCTCGAGACGAGGAATCTCTTTTAAGACGTCTGCCCAGTGAGGAAGAATCACCCAAATACCCTCTAGAGGGGCTTTCAAAGCTCATTCCTGGTTAGATTAACATTGAAGCGGCGTCTAATCCGTGTGCAGCTACAAGCCAGTGATTGAAATTCCACATTCGTGTGGTGGGGGCAAGTATATCTATAATGTAACCACTGTTGACTTCTCTACAGAGGGCAACTTATTTTTGCGACCCTATCGGCAATGGTGGCTGTCCACTTCCAGGTCCTACCCAGCTGTGGCGTGAGAGCTATTGGAGGGCTACACCTCCACCTCTATTCATAATCCAGATAATGAAGTGCAATTGGCGATAGTGAGGTCCACTGTTTCATGCCATTCGAATGTGTTGAGACGATGACGATCGCATGAACGATGAGCCCAGCTCAGCATGGGGTACATGGCGAGGGCGTGTGCCGGGTGACCCTTGACCTCCGAACCCGGAGCTGACACCGATGGATTGGGGATGGACCGCGATAGCAATGGTGTCGGAAGCCCACCGATATTTAATAAGACCGCCCTGCTGATGAGACCCAGAAAGTCTAATCCCGAACAGAGGTTTCTATCGAACAAAGTCTTCTGGAAAACCTTGTTCGAGAAAAGTCCACCGGCTAATGGCTCTAAATAAATAGATGGTTCCCATAGGCAGACTTTGTAGCAGTCGGCAAACCATTTACCTGAGTAGTGTGTTTTGGGACTTGAGAGGGATCTGGATGTGGTTAGTGATGAAAGAGATAATGGTGCAGTAGACGAGAGCCCTGAGACCGGGGTTGATGATCGCATTATCTTTAAAATGCGGCTGCTTTTTGTTCAAATTTGGTTCCCTTCCCCACACCGCCAATTAACACGGTTGGCTACGTACGGTGGGAAAGAAGTTGAACGTACGGACGTACCAGCTCCGGCAGCTGTGCGATGTGGGAGACTTTGTGCTCGGACTCAAGCGACATTCACTTCGTCTGAAACAAGACGGTATACACATGACGATACACGTTCACGCGATGGTTTACGAAGGTCGGCTGCCGAGGTTCGGTGTGTCCAGGTGGCCTGGGAAGCGAGCCGTGCCCCACACGACGAAGAGAATGGTTGGGATTCGAGTGTGGCTCTGTTGGAGACAGGACGACGTCGACATCGTCGCAATGCAGAGAGACTGCAGTGGCTGCATGGGCGCTGCGGTGGCTAGGAGATGTTTACTACCTCGCCTGGTATACAGGAGGTCGTGGGTTCGATCCCGGCCCTGAAGCCTGCTGTATATTTGGAGTGTGCGTGTCTCCCTCTGTCATCAGAATCAAGGTGGCTAGGAGATGTTAACTACCTCGCCTGGTATACAGGAGGTCGTGGGTTCGATCCCGGCCCTGAAGCCTGCTGTATATTTGGAGTGTGCGTGTCTCCCTCTGTCATCAGAATCAAGGTGGCTAGGAGATGTTAACTACCTTGCCTGGTATACAGGAGGTCGTGGGTTCGATCCCGGCCTGAAGCCTGCTGTGTATTTGGAGTGTGCGTGTCTCCCTCTGTCATCAGAATCAAGGTGGCTAGGAGATGTTTACTACCTCGCCTGGTATACAGGTCGTGGGTTCGATCCCGGCCCTGTAGCCTGCTGTATATTTGGAGTGTGCGTGTCTCCCTCTGTCATCAGAATCAAGGTGGCTAGGAGATGTTTACTACCTCGCCTGGTACACAGGAGGTCGTGGTTTCGATCCCGGACCTGAAGCCTGCTGTATATTTGGAGTGTGCGTGTCTCCCACTCTCATCAGAATCAAGGTGGCGAGATGATGTTTACTACCTCGCCTGGTACACAGGAGGTTGTGGTTTCGATCCCGGACCTGAAGCCTGTATATTTGGAGTGTGCGTGTCTCCCTCTCATCATAATCAAGGTGGCTAGGAGATGTTTACTACCTCGCCTGGTATACAGGAGGTCGTGGTTTCGATCCCGGACCTGAAGCCTGCTGTATATTTGGAGTGTGCGTGTCTCCCACTCTCATCAGAATCAAGGTGGCGAGATGATGTTTACTACCTCGCCTGGTACACAGGAGGTCGTGGTTTCGATCCCGGACCTGAAGCCTGCTGTATATTTGGAGTGTCCGTGTCTCCCTCTCTCATCATAATCAAGGTGGCTAGGAGATGTTTACCTACCTCGCCTGGTACACAGGAGGTTGTGGTTTCGATCCCGGACCTGAAGCCTGCTGTATATTTGGAGTGTGCATGTCTCCCTCTCTCATCATAATCAAGGTGGCTAGGAGATGTTTACTGCCTCGCCTGGTATACAGGAGGTCGTGGTTTCGATCCCGGACTTGAAGCCTGCTGTATATTTGGAGTGTGCGTGTCTCCCACTCTCATCAGAATCAAGGTGGCTAGGAGATGTTTACTACCTCGCCTGGTATACAGGAGGTCGTGGTTTCGATCCCGGACCTGAAGCCTGCTGTATATTTGGAGTGTGCGTGTCTCTCTCCCCGTGGTCGCGTGGATTTTTCTGCAGGGCCCTCCGGTTTTCCCCTCCACATTTAGAAACGTGCGTTTTAGAGTATTTTGGCTGCTGTACATTTTCCACACGATAAGCCACTTCGTTGAGCTATCATTTGTGATGGGGCCAGCTCGCTTCTGAAAAAAATCTACTACATAGATCAACGGGGCCTTATCGTTTAGCATGGGGACGTCTGTATTAGAGGGAGGGGGGGGGGGGGGTGGACAGCGCATTGCAAAACAGAGGCAGCAGGGCCTCTACACACAGCACAACACACGCTGTGACAACAGTGCAACAGGAGCAATGGGGCCGCAGTTACTAACACAGCGGAGAATGCAGAGGGAGGGGAGGGTATGGAAGGGAGGGTATGGGGGTGTAGAACTACATACGGGGGTGACTCGGCGCATGACTACAACGCGGTGAGGCGGTCCGTTTCCGCTCTGGCTTCCGCTCGGAAGCCCTAACCCCCCCCCTCTCTACCCCCCCCCCTCTCTGCCCCCCAGCCCCCCTCTCTGCCCCCCCTCCTCCCCTCCCTCGCGGTGCAGCAGCAGCAGCCGCCGGATTGTGCACGAGTCCGTCAGGCAGAGGGGTCGTGGATTGCGAGCGTGCTGGGCAGTGGATACTCAAGCGCGACACACACACACACGGCTCTCTGTGTTACATACCACCTACTCGTAGGTACACACACTGGGTACACACACGTGTGTATTATATACGCTGTAGAGATACGTACGTACTGCAGAGATATACCGTATTCAGGTCGACACTACGACTGCTAGCCATAGGATCTTACACATTGATGATACACGTACGTACAGAGATATACACGCATCGATATATACTGTAGAGCCGATGCCGTTTCGCAAACCAACACTCATGGACGCACTGGTGGTACACATACACGGCTATAGATAGGCATCTACACGTACGGGATACACACACACACGATACATATTACACGAACTCGCACGCACGCGTACCGATTCTCACCGCGCAAATTTCGGGCTCGTCGCTCGATACACGCGCACGTACGCACGTACGCGTTCCCCATATACAAACCTACTCGCCACCACACATACACACACGCGCGTATTACATACATAACAAAAGCACACACACCGACGTACAGATATGTAGCTGTCATTAGACACGCGCGCGCGCACGTACACACGTGCGCACACGGGACACACACACAGAGTGTTACAGACGCGAAGCAGTAAACAGGGCTGCAGCAGCAGCAGCAGGAGGATGTTGAGCGGCGGGCAGACAAGCCGGGCTTGCTCCTAGCTCTCTCTCTCTCCTCTAACCCACCGTTACCGCGCGCGCATCTACTTCCACAATCTACATCATCGTCATCATCTTCTTCCTCTTCGTCGTCTGCTGGGGTTTTGGAGGGTGGAGTGCGGGGGGAGCCGCGAGAGGGGCCGACATGATGCGTGTGACGCTGCTGCCGGCTCCGAGGACATGAAAGATGAGCGAAGAGGCGCGCCCAGATGAGTAAGTGGCAGGGACGAGGGCCCCCTTCTGCACCTCCCCACACCTCCTCTGACCACCACCTGCTCCATCAATACCCGTCCCATTCAGTAACCTCGTCCATCTAGAAACTCTCATGTTCTCCCTCCTGCCTTCCCATCGTCATTCGTCAAAAATCCTTCACCGCAATGTTGGTCTCGATGGTCCAGAATCTCCAGTAATTTCCTCCCATCTGTCTCTTGAATCCTAAACAACGTCCAACTATTTACCTCCATCCTCCTCCGCCCTTCATTCCTCACCACATCCTTCGCCATCGATGCAGCTCGTTCGTCTCGATATCCCCTCCTCCCAACGCACCCAGCGGTTCCAACGCATCACCACGCGGCCCGATGTCCGTTCCCTCCGGCAGTCTCCATCCGGCAGACACTTCACAATCCTCCATCCATCCACGCCGCTGTCGCACTCCGGTCTCCTCCACACCAACACCTTCACGCTCAGAGCTCCCTGCACCATCTCCCTACCCCCCCTACTCCCTTCGTCAACAACTTTCCTTCCCACGAACAGACCCCCCTCTCTCTTTACGCCGCTCTCTCTCTCTCGTCTGTTCCACCGGGGAGCCCGCAGACACAGCCGTGCGTGTCCTGTACATGTCGTGTTTCTGTAAAGGGAGAGTAAGAGGCTGTTCCAGTGTTTCCCAGTGTGAGGACCGAGGAAGGAGGGCGGTTGTGTTGCTAAGAGGGCACACGGGGAGATGACCCAGAGAGAGGTCGGGGACCTCCCAGGATTGGGAATGAGATTTCCGGTAGAGATGTACAATTGTTACTCCTGGGATGGTTTGAGCGGCCGCTCTCACTAATGGGACGCGCGCGCGTGTGGGAGAGGATAAATCTAGAATTGTGGGAGAGGTTGTTGGGTCGCTTTTGAAGAAAGCAAGGATGGTGTCACCAGCCCGCTGGGCCAAGGAGGCCCGCGGGTTTTACAATCACTGGAGCGGGAGGGACCCCCGATGGAGGGCAAGGGAGCCCCTTCCCTTTGCATCGGGGTACAGAAAGGTGGTCGTGCGAGAGGAGGCTCTGGAGATGGAGCAGCAGCAGCATCAGCAGCAGCAGGAGGAGGAGGGACTGGATGTGGGAGGGATGGACGCGTCTTGTGGGATCGTCTGAGCGGGCTCTCTGGGTCCGTGCCCAGGGGCGGGAGAACGGCGATGGAGGAGCAGCAGGAGGAGGGAGGGAGGGAGCAGGAGGGAGGAGGAGGGAGCCCGCCAGGTGCCGCCATTCCGCCCAGAGAACCCGCCATGTTTTTTTTATCAATCGCTCTCATTAGCATAGGAAGAGTCCATTCATGAAACGCGCAGTGGCGGAGTCGGCGTCGCCTCTCGCCACCGCTGCGGCGGAAAGCGCCCAAGGACCGCAACGGGCCGTGGCCGTGACGGCCATTTAACGTTCACCCCCCCTCCACCTCCTCCTCCTCATCCTCCCTCCTACTCCATCCCCCCCCGGCCCTCCCCTGGAAACACCGTCCATGTTCTCGACAAAAGAACGCCGTGAAACACGCGCGCGCACTGTACCAGGGCTGCCCCATTAGTATGGAGGCTGCGTGCCTCGCCGTGTGAGTGTGTGCGTGTCTCCCCGTGTGAGTGTGAGTGTCTCCCCGTGTGAGTGCGTGTCTCCCTGTGTGAGTGTGAGTACGTGTCTCCCTGTGTGAGTGTTTCTCTCTCCGTGTGAGAGTGTGTGTCTCACCGTGTGAGTGTGAGTGCGTGTCTCCCCGTGTGAGTGAGTGTGTGTGTCTCCCCGTGTGAGTGTGTGTGTGTCTCCCCGTGTGAGTGAGTGTGTGTGTCTCCCCGTGTGAGTGTGTGTGTCTCCCCGTGTGAGTGTGTGTGTGTGTCTCCCCGTGTGAGTGAGTGTGTGTGTCTCCCCGTGTGAGTGAGTGTGTGTGTCTCCCCGTGTGAGTGTGTGTGTGTCTCCCCGTGTGAGTGAGTGTGTGTGTCTCCCCGTGTGAGTGTGTGTGTCTCCCCGTGTGAGTGTGTGTGTGAGTGTCTCCCCGTGTGAGTGGGCGCGTGGGGGCGGTGGCGCAGCGGTTAGCGCACTGCGCTATGACGCGCCCCCGGCGGGCCCGAGCGAGGCGTTCGATTGCAGCGTTGCGGACAACAAAAACCCAGTCACGAGCCTCCCCTAGGTGGACTCGGCCTCAAACGAGTACCACCTGGTGCAGCGTGTAAAACAGAGACCGGGGAGACAAAGGCGGCCGGGCGTAATGTGCCCCCCCCCTTTCCACAACCCTCGTGTGCGGCCTTCATAGTTGCCCAGCCCGTGAAATAAAACCTTGGGGGAGTCTCGGCCTTTGTGCGCGCGCGCCAGTATGGTGCCAGCATTATTTTTGACCGCTTTTCATTCATAAATGCCCAGGCCCGTTATATATCCGTGCCGCTGTCTCAACGGCGACTTCCGCCACCAACAACAACAACCTACCGCGACTACCAGCAATAGCCTCGATCTCTCCCCCCCCTCCCCAAGCACGTTCACAACCACACACAGAACGCAGCCACCACACACACCACCACCATCCACCCACCCACCACCACGACTGCCACAATACCCCTCCCCCCACCACACTTGCACCCCAACCCCGCTCGTTCCACCACCAAAACCACAAGACAAAGATCACCCGTATAGCCTTTGAAACAGACTCTTGGGGCAAAGGGCTGCGAGTGAGAAAACACGAGGGTGTAGGGGTGGCCAGTCCCACGCCCGGCCGCCTTTGTCTCCCTAGTGGCGATGTTAACACACCGCAGCAGGTTACTCATTTAAGGCTGAGTCTACCTAGGGGAGGCCCGTATTTGGTTTAGATAATCATCATGATGTCGGTGGTAGCCGTGAGCTGCAATCGATGTGGGGGCGACGACGCGATAACCACTACACTACCGCTCCACACACACACACCACTACTAACCACTACACTACCACTCCACACATACACCACTACTAACCACTACACTACCACTCCACACACACCCCACTACTAACCACTACACTACCACACACACACCACTATTAACCACTACACTACCACTCCACACACACACACACACCACTACTAACCACTACACTACCACACCCCACACACACACACACCACTACTAACCACTACACTACCGCTCCCCACACACACACACACCACTACTAACCACTACACTACCACACCCCACACACACACACACCACTACTAACCACTACACTACCACTCCCCACACACACACACACCACTACTAACCCCTACACTATCACACCCCACACACACACACACACCACTACTAACCACTACACTACCACACACACACCACTACTAACCACTACACTACCACACCCCACACACACACCACTACTAACCACTACACTACCACACACACACCACTACTAACCACTACACTACCACTCCCCACACACACACCACTACTAACCACTACACTACCACTCCCCACACACACACACCACTACTAACCACTACACTACCACACCCCAAACACACACACCACTACGAACACTACACTACCACTCCACACACACACCACTACTAACCACTACACTACCGTTCCACACACACACCACTACTAACCACTACACCACTACTAACCACTACACTACCACACCCCACACACCACTAGTAACCACTACACTACCGATCCACACACACAAACACACCACTACTAACCACTACACTACCACTCCCCACACACACACACCACTACTAACCACTACACTACCACACCCCACACACCACTACTAACCACTGCACTACCGCTCCCCACACACACACACACCACTACTAACCACTGCACTACCGCTCCCCACACACACCACTAATCACTACACTACCACTCCCCACACACACACACACCACTACTACTAACCACTACACTACCACTAACCACTACACTACCACACCCCACACACTCACACTACTACTAACCACTACACTACCGCTCCACACACACACCACTACTAACCACTACACTACCACTTCCCACAAAGCCACACACACCACTACTAATCACTACACTACCACTCCCCACACACACACACACCTCTACTAACCACTACACTACCACACCCCACACACACACCACTACTAACCACTACACTACCACTCCCCACACACACACACACCACTACTAACCACTACACTACCGCTCCACACACACACACCACTACTAACCACTACACTACCACTCCCCACACACACACCACTACTAACCACTACACTACCACTCCCCACACACACACACACCACTACTAACCACTACACTACCACTCCCCACACACACCACTACTACTAACCACTACACTACCACTCCCCACACACACACCACTACTAACCACTACACTACCACTCCCCACACACACACACACCACTACTAACCACTACACTACCACTCCCCACACACACCACTACTACTAACCACTACACTACCACTCCCCACACACACACACCACTACTAACCACTACCACACCCCACACACACACTCCATTACTAACCACTACACTACCACTCCACACACACACACACCACTACTAACCACTACACTACCACTCCCCACACACACACCACTACTAACCACTACACTACCACTCCCCACACACACACCACTACTAACCACTACACTACCACTCCCCACAAAGCCACACACAACCACCACTACTATCCACAGCCACAATACCTCCCCATCTCCCAACCCCACTCATTGCACCATAAAACTGGCATGGCACACGAGGGGGTGGGTGACCAGCACCACGTCCGGCCGCCTTTGTCTCCCCAGTCTGGGATGTTTACTGCACACCGCACCCGGTCCTCATTTGAGGCTGGGGGAGTGCCAGGCCCGGTTGAGATATTCGCCACTCTTATTGATCGTGAGCGGGGAATCGAACTCTAGTCGCTGGGTTCGTTGTGCAGCGCGCTAACCGCACCGCCACCGCCCCCGCCCTCCCCACTCATTCCACCACCACAACCACGACAACCACCGCCCCTC